TGGTCCACCCAGACTGACAGGTCAGACATGAAGCAAAGAAGCCAGTGTTATTCTGGAGAATATAAACATTTTAATAAATAAATAAATACATTTTTAGTATGTAGCCACATGCCATAGGGAAGAGAGCGCACATGTAGAAGAAAAATGTCATGATCCGTGTTTCTGTGTATTTATTTTAAGGTTTTTCTGTGTTCAGTTTCTGTCCTGAGTCTCTGCTGTTTCTGCGTCTTCCCCGTTGATTGCTGTGCTAATCTTTCTGCCGTGCCGCCTGATCTGGACTGTTTTTGAGCATCTTCATTAAATTCATCATTTTCTTCTACAACCTGGGTCTCTGCGTCTCTCCTCACCACCTCTCAACCACCACACATGACAAAAATAAGGGAAATTAGCATTGAACATGGTCACTTGGTGGTGGCAGCATCATGCTGTAGGGATGCTTTTCTTCATCTGGGACATGAAAGCTCATCATAGTGGATGGGAAGATAGATGGAGCTAAATATAGGGCAGCAGGGTCCAAAAAAAACAACAAAAAAAAACAAACATCTGGGGCGTTGGTTCAACTTGTAAACCAACGTGTGAGTAAACTTTGATTATCTTCTATTTTCTTAACTCTATTGACATTTTTTTTATTATTTTGTGCTATTTGGACAAAATAATTTCCTTGTGGGGATCAATAACATAATCTTGAATCTTGAAATGGTTTAGCTGAAAGTACACTCCTTTGTTAGAATGGCTCAGTCAAAGCCCAGACCTAAATCCAGTTCAGACACCATAGCTGTAAACATGGCAGCTGTATAGCTGCTGCTAAATGTGGTTCTTCAAATGATTAATCCAGCAAAGGCTGAGCTGCATTTGTGAACCCAGCTCTGGGCTGGCATGTTACAAATTGTGAAAAGGTTCGAGGGCTATGCAGATTTTTACCAGGCACTGTAGGAAGAGACAGGCTGGATGAAAACTGGTTATAATTTTGCTTGCACGAAACCACGGATCTGTGTGGTCTTCCCCCCTTGGCTTCCTCTCGCAAAACACAAGTTAAAGCAGCAGCCAGGAGCGGAGCTTGCAAAATGCATTCCATTACAGAAAGGTCACATCTGCAACTTTTCTGCTCCAGCTTTCACCAGACCAGGAATGGCTGCTTTCTCTTACAGCTCCTCGCTAATTGTCACCGTACCCCTCCCTTTCTGTCATTCTGCTCAGTTTTAAGCCCCGGTTGAGAGAGGAGAATAGGGGAGAATGCTATTTTCTGGCCCGTTTCACCCTAATTGTGTCAGATTGGCCATGCAGTGGCCCAGTGTCTTTCCAGGGTGAAGATTGTTCACGCACTGCAGCCTATCAATAGGGAGGGGTTCGGCATCAATATATTTTACAGCTATTCCTTTTCACACCACACTTGAAAACCAGCAATAACTCAGGCTTTCCTGCCATTGAAATGGTAACTAACTTCTTTTTTTAGGGGGGGGGGGTCAAGTTGCTCCATGTCTACCCCCTCAAGTAGCTTGTGCCAGTTTTTGCAGGGGCTGCCCAGAACAGTTGGATGCCCAGGATGAAATTTACCCAAGGCTCCAATAACTTCTTTTAGACAAACACATGAATAAATAATTTGCACGTTTAAACATGCACTTCAGAAGTAATCAGTAAACAGAGTATAATTATGTGTAATTTAATCTAAGTACAACTGTTCTGTTAAATCCCTCAGTAGATTGCTAAGCATTAGAGAACAAACAGCGTCAGTTTTGTGGGGGAATATGGGAATATTACACACAATCCCAATAGAATACACTGGAGTTTGTGGTTGCAATGTGGCAAAAAGTGACAAAGTTAAATGGCTGTGAAAGCTTTTGCAAATGGTAAATGATGAACAAAGAAACTAAATAACAGGGAATTATGTTCTAGTACTTTTGACTAGGACTGCAAATATTTATCTTTCTGCACAGAGGCATGATGACCAGGGACTCATGAATTTGATAAAAAAATTCATAGATCTCTCTGTTTTTTTATTTTCATGAAAACAGTTTTTTTCATAAAAATGTGGTTAATTTCCTTCATTTCAGAACAACTTGCTAATAAATATACACTTTAATTGTCTAGAACTGCACTTTATTTGGATCAAATTGGGTGTTTTGCATTTGAAGTGAATAAATGTTGTTGGATTTGCTGTAGACTCCATAGTTTCTATATAAAGGAATTTGTTGCATAAACTAAAATTAATTTAACATTCCACCCACATTAAATTCTATTTCACAGGACATTTACCATGTTGTGAATTCTTACCATCCAATGCTGAATGGGAGTAGAAACCCCCACCTTGCATGCCATCGCTGTGCGTTCCTCGGTGTATTTTTGTCTCCCTCTAGTGTTCAGGCTGCTGCAGTTTTACCAAAAATGTTGAGACAAAAGCGAAATGAACCACAGCGTCATAAAAATGTGTTTATTGCAGTTAAAACTCAAAAAGGAACATCACGGAAGAACTCGCACAGTTACAGACATACAGTGAAACAGCCAAAGATCAAGAAGAGACTGCCATTGCAGCCTTTTCCTTAAAAATCAGATTCACAGGATAACAGCACAGAGTTTACACTTGTGTATTAGGATTATTGAGTTATTGATTTCAAGTTTCACACCTATATAAAACAAATAGTTTGTACTTTATGGCTTGGCTTCCAACTATTGATACCATGTTCTGATCTTTAATGGCAGATTCTAGTAGCTTTGTTTAAAAATAAGTTATTGCAACTTTCCTCCTGTGTTATTTATATGTTACGAATATAATATCCTCTATGACAAGAAATTAACCGTTGCACTCAAAACGTATTGCCTCAGCCTTCACTCAGTAGCAGCGTGGCACGTAACGAAAGAACATTTCCGTTTAATTTTGAGAAATCACAGAACAGTAAGCTTCCGCTACATAAAAGACGAAAATCCTGCCATACAGAAATTAGAACAAAAGTCTAAAATTTGGACACGTAAAATAAAATGTATTTTACATTAATGCAACACTGAATCCCCTCCTTACATCACAGGCAGGACGCCACTTGAACCCCACACTGACTTGACTGACTGTTATGTTACAAGCACTCCCCAGCTACAGGAACGGATTCGTTATTTTTTTTTTCCTTTCACAAAGACGCCGTTTAGCACATCACACTGGCTTTAACAACACAACATCCACCAGCACGAAAACGCGAATACTGAGATGGCAGATGAGGTGGAGGACGAGGCGAGGATCGTGGGACGGATGACGACACCACAAGACTCAACGCGTTGCTGGAAATGGTGAGAGTCAACCTGCTGGAGCCAAACAGCACAGAATTCTACATAGAACATAAATATCTGCATGTAGACTCAGCTGGATTTATGCACACACCAGAGGCAAACAATCTGATGTATCTGTGCCATTTCCTCTGCGTTGGTCGGAGTGTTATCAACAAAGGCTTTGGCATACGACTGAAAGCATTTCCTTTCTACCAATCTGAGCAGCCATCAGAAAGCAGCATATAAACAGATTCACACACAATTTATATATATGTATATATATATATATATATATAGTGGACAGAAATGGTATTGCATGGAAGCCGATTAACTTTGCAGACAGTTACATGTTCATGTAAAAGCATTCATCACTGCAAGTCTTCACACCTAAACAAGTGAGTAATGATTTGTAGGTTTTAGCAAAACCAAAAGAAATAAAGAGAAAAATGATTTAATAAATTAACCGCTCTGAAAGCGATTCATTTATCTTGGAGCTTCAGCCCTGACCAACGAGGCTCACAAGAAATGCTGCAAAAACAACAGCAAAAACAAATGTCACGGAAGATTAACCTTTTGGTTGTTCCAGACAGTTGTCGCCCATTAAATTGTCCGATTCTGTTTGTGTAATTAACATGAGCTGGTGTGCAGAGCCGGCTCAAGGCTGTTTAGGGCCCCCAGGCCAGCAGGGTCCTCAAAGAGTCCTCTAATTCTGACCAGAATGCTGGTCATTTGGCTAACTTACCATCTCACACTTTTGTAGTCTGATTTTGTACCCGACTCTTTTGCATTCAAGATGAAGCTTCTCGCCACAAGACCAACTATGAGGTATTTCAATGCCGTTTTAGGGACATCTCGTACCTGCTTTGATACCTGATAATTGTAAGAATATTTCTTTGATGTACTTATAAATGTTTGTGTCATTCTGTAAGCTAATGTTAATCCCAACAGGAGACGACTCAAGAGTTTAAGTCGGAGCTCAGAATCGCTCGTCTTTCTCAAGAGAAAGTCGATAAGAACCGCTTGAGCATTACTATGGCTAATAATTGTCATAGTTTGACAAAATACTTAACTACACCCAGAAACAAAACTGATACACAACGGCTGAAGAATATGCTTGAAAATGACTGACAACTTTTTTGTAACTTGTGAGCAGGACCGGTCAGACTCACCCGTTCTGCCTAACTCTGCAATGCTGCGAAAGCGTATGAGTAAGTCAGAAAAAGTACCCAATATCCAGGGTCTGCGGCTGTTTTCACCTTCTGAAACACTTTTTATCAACCACTGTTTAATAAAAAAGAATGACAAAGCAATGCACACTAAAAGTGGTTGTAGAAACTCTGGTGGGGGAAGGTCTTCTAAATCAAATTTTGTTTTGGAGCCCAGTTCTAACTTAGGCCGGCCCTGAGTGTTCAGCTTGTGCATGTGTGTTGTTGTTCCAACCGAGCAGCTGACCCCAGCGGTCCTGACTTTATTGGAGATGCACGCCTTAGGCAATGAAACTCCTCTGCTGAGTTTTGGAGACAAAAGGGGAGGAAAAAACACACACATACACACTGCTACGACCTCTGCTGCAGAACTGCATGGTGTTGTCACTGGCCCGGTACAGAGAGCGAAGGAGAATGGGAATACAGGGAATGAAGGATCTGGTGCACTGTACAAATTTACCAAGAGGAGAACTTGCTCGAACCTGCAGAAATGATCTCACTGGTTTCAGTTTTATCAGAGTGCAAATTGGCTCATTTTCTGACTTTTTTTTTTTTTTTTCCGTAAAAACATGAACAACATTCAGGATGATTAAGACTCAAAATGGTTTTAACTGGTTAGAAGGTGAGCCAAAGATCTCATAGGCTCCAGTTTGATTTTGATCCCCATATAACTATAATTATGCAACTCTGCTAACTGACATTCAACCAAAGCAATGAGAAAATGTCTACACCCGGAGAAGCTCTGCCTCTGATAAATTTCTCCACAAGTGAAACTCTGTTTTCTGGAGCAGCTCAGGCCCACTTCACATGAGATTGCAGTTTTCCGTCTGCTTCTTGAGGTCTTCAAGCGTGGCCTGGGCTTTGTCCTTCAGCTGATCGATGTCCACGTTCTGGATGTTGGACAGCTGGCCCAGCACGGACTGCTTGTGCGCCTCCTCCTGGTTGTCCTCGGCGATCATCTTGGCCAGCTCTGTGGGCAGCACCACGTCGTCCCCTGCCTGCTGGATCTGGGTCTCGTCGAGCTCGTTCTGAAGTGGAGGAACACGTGGAGAGAAAACACGCCAATGTTAGTTTTGCGCATTTGTCTGAGAAGCTGAGGTACATGCATTTTTAAGTTACCTTCGGTAGTCTGTACTTTTCCCGAAAATGGGTTCTGACTGTAGCCCTCTCTGCTTTCTTCTGGGCAAAATGAGCTTCTCGTTCTTGTCTGCAAGACAGGAAGGAAATTACAGCCTTCAGGCAGAATGTTCTGTAGGGAGTAAAAGCTTGAGAAAAGCTCTACTTTGAACCAAACATGGCAAAGAAAGGTCACCTCCTAGTAATTATTAGGCTTCTTGAAAATCTGAATCCAACATGCCAATATCTTCTTCATATTAAGCCTCTATCAATTAATCTGAACATGAAAAAAAACAGTTTCAAGTTTCCAACTTGGTCTGGGTCATGGATAGCCTGATCATTGCCTTCCTACATGATGGGATTTCTTCTGTGGAGCTGCATTTCTCTGGTAGAATTTCAGCCAGGCCAACCAGCGAACAGAAATAGAAATTGTAAGCGATAACTTCGATTTTCTGCTGTGTGTTCCTGAATTGTAGTCTGCCTGTAGTTTCAGCAATGGTAGTGGCGGAAGAGAACAAAGCCATTTAGTCCGTACGTCAAGGTCAAATGCTAGTGATTGGGTAAAATTCAAAATTTCAACAGAGTCCAGACCTCCAGCAAGCAATCGTTTCTCAATAGGTTCAGCAAAGCATAGAAGAAAGGGGCTTGTTTTTACCAGGCTGGGTCATGGAGGGTAATGTGGAGCAGCAGTGTCATTGTCGTGGACTAACAAAATGGAGATGTCTTCACCCTTTTCCACACCTGCCACAGGATGTAATATATTTCCTCTTCAGCTCCATCTACTTGCTAATGCACCCAAAGTTAACCTAAAGCTTAACTTGGTCTGGACAGTCTGCGACAAGTTACGACCTTTCAACGAATCCCCCTTTGTTATCTTGGAACACCCGTTTCTCGTGATCCAGGAATAGAATTCTGCAGATATTTGCAAATCCCACTCCTCCGAAATCCTTTGTCCTCTTTACCAGTGTGATGAAACACCAATAGATCGAGAGCACATGCAACATGTGCTCCGCCAGATCCTCCATTTGTAACTCATTTCTATGTGCTACACACAGCAACCGACTTGTTACAGAATCAGACTGACCATATGCCATCGTCAACCACTTCAGGAAATAATTTAGTGTTTTCAACCTCCTCTCATTCACTGAGGTGATCACTGGATATTTTATGATTTGTAAGTAGCAGAGTACATGGTAGACATTAATGTATATTAAGCTTAATGTATTTTAGTCATTGTTGTGATGTAAATAAATTTCAAGTGTTGTGATATGTGTGTGTGGTATGATAGCCTGAATTCAGACCTTCACTGAGCATCTGACGTCTATAGCTTAATTCATACAGGCTAGAAGAAAACTGATGCAATTTTTTTCTTGCTTTTCACATATTGGCATGAATAAATATCTGTCTTAAAGATGATCAATTACAAATAGTTTTTAGACGTTTATTAATATTTTCTACTGACAAGACTACCTCTTTTTGTGAACAATACCAAACTCCCACAAGATTCAAGCTGCAGACTAACTAGTTTTGCAGCAATTTGAAATGATTTAAAAGAGCAGGAAATGTTGTTAAAATGTGTTAAGAAAATTACCATCCTTAATTTATCATCTTGGTATTTTGTTTAATTTTCTGCTCTTTCTGGTCTATCTTTACAGTAAAATGCTCCAAACGTCCAGAATCAGAGTTTTGAGGCACACATTAGGAAACAAGGGGGTAGTAAATGCAGAATTAAAAACCTTTACAGTTGCATTTTCAATGTTCATGTCTAATTTGAAAAATTTTAAAATATGTCAACAAAAATGTTATAAGATGTAGTTTTATGCACAACAGTGTATTTGTTCAGTTTCAGCTCTTACCAGCAAGCCGAAAAAGGAAAAGTTGTGTTGGATATTTACATAATCTAATATATTATACTTGTGGATAACAAAGTGTACACTTGCAATCAGTTATACAGTTTAGAAGTTCAGTATATGTTGAGTCATCTATTTGGGAAAACTGGATTCCATACAGTATATTTATTTATTTCTCATTTAGCAGTGAGATATTTTAGCCACTAAATACCACACGAGTAGGGCAAGGAAAATGATAATTTCAGGAAATGAGAAATAAATAAAAAGCCTCTCCATTATACATATTTCTTTTTTTAAAGCTTGGAAGCTCTTAACAAGCCCTCAATCCTCCTCCTTCTCAACCTTAGTTGGGATTCAGCCTTCTGGTCTCCTCAGTTTGTGCTGCCTCCAGCAGGGGGCAGGCAGGAAGTGTTTTCTCCACTTCCAACTGCTAGAATGTTAATTCGTAAATGTGCTGCCAGCCACAGACATTGCGAGCCAGCCGGGCAACACAGTCTGAATCAAACTTGCTTGAACAGCCAGAGGTCAAACGTCTAGTGAGAACAACAAAGAAATGAGGACACTTTGTGCAAGAGCAGAAATCCGAGTGTGTCCTTAGGACAACATAATCCATCGAATAGGGCTAAAATATGAACACTTGGATGAAATCAGCAGCAGCATCAAAATTCAAAGAAACACTAGGAGGGACATGCTCGCACTCATTGTGTCAAAGGAAAGGTCCTCTTCTCGTTGAGATGGAGCCTTTCACTTCTTCGTGTGATCCGGAGATCACTTCAGATTAACATGCCAAACGTAGAAAGGCCATGCCAGCGCACACCAATGTGCAGCTTCCGTGTCTTCTGTCTCTCAAGGGCATCAGTTGACCCAGGGTGTCACTGCTGTGTCCTGGTGGCTCAGGGTGATGAAATGCCTGTATGTATGTGTCATCATGGCAGTGTGAGCAGCTCACACTTCACCTCGAAAGTCTCACTCTGTTTCTATCTAAGCAGGAGGAGCTTCTCCTCCTGATCTACGTTCATGCTTAGCACCTTCTGACTAGTAATTCTTCCCCACCGAAGGTCACGTCATGATGGAAGAGTGTCAGGCATCCCTCCTGTGGAGCTCAGTGGGCTCTGCTGAGTGTTAATGGCTTCACCTCCCACTCACTCTTAAAATGTCTGCACATGGTCCCAAAAGACAGTTTTGACGAAAGTGTTAGAAGGGAGGTGTTAGCTGATGGTCATAGGAAGCCAGAATCAGCAGAGGAAACGGGGACATTTTCTCTGTCCTAACATGCAGCATCATGAACTGACCATCACGGACCATCTAACGGGGCTTTGTAGAGTCCAGCTCTAAAGGCTGGGGCAACTTTGACGACCTGCTTGTCATATTTAATTCTTGCATTTTTACATTTCATGACTTCGTCGGTGGCTTTAGTTTTGTGGAAAAACTACAGACACTAAAACGTTATTAGAGCAAAGATTCACACAGAAATGACGAAAGTCGCCTCTGAATTAATTAGAGTAAGTTATGCAAATTTGGTTCCACCTGATTTTTCATCCATCCTATCGCACAATAATCAGGAACATCTTTCGCCCCCGGCACAGTAAAGGTATTCAGCGAAATAAATAAATAAATAAATAAATAAATAAATAAATAAATAAATAAATAAATGTAAACGTGAGTTCTTTTTTTTTTTCTTCTATTTTGCCCGAGCATAGAGATGGAGAGCTCCTCCGGGCGAGAGGAGCAGCTGTGTGAGGAGCGCTCCTATTATTGCACTGATGCGTAAAAAAGCACGCCGCGGACAGAGCGCTCCTCGCTTTTTTACCCATAGAATCACATAAGCCACAATATTTAACATATTTTGTAAAGAAAAAAACAACAAGAACAACTCCCTGTTCATTGCTATTCCACACAACATATTTCAGTCAGCGCTTACTTTTCCTCCTCTAACTGTTGCTGATATTGTTCAAATTCCTCTTGAGTCATTCCCTGCGCGGCGGCGTCTGATTTCTCTCCCTCGGATTTCTCCTCCGTGAGGCCGCCAGTCAGGTTCTTCAGCTGCCCTCCCACCACGTGTTTCACCATGAAAGCCATGGCTGCGGTCCGGAGAGTCCTCGGTTTGAGCGGCTGACGTTACGGGACTCGGTGCGCTCCTGGAGAGAGCGCCGGGGTTGTGGGGAGATTTCTTCCAAATCGGCGTTCAAATCAGACGCCTTGAGTCTTCACGCAAAAAGGGGATACAAAATAAATAAATAAATAAATGAGCGTAACTTTGGGAAATGCTTGAACCTGGAATCAGAGGAATGCGCTATCAGCCCTGGAGGCGGCGTCGGAAAGCTTGACAGTTTCAGCACCACTGGCCCCGGACAGCTCCGAGTCGAGATGGACGGAGAGGAGCAGCTCAGTTATGAGTCAACAAGTTTGGCGCTGAACTCTACCAATCCCGTGACTCCTTCCTCCGCCACCACTCCCTCCCTCCACCCAATCCCAGGCACCGCCGGACTCGGAGCGCGCTCACACGGCGCGGGATGCCGTGATTCGCCGTCTGAGGATGTGCGGCGATGGACTCGGGGAAGAAAACAACACGTGACGAGCGCGAGTTTCTCCTGGTCGCTTCGGTGCCTCCGTCTTTCTCAGGGACGTCCAGCCGCCGCTGAACAGATGAGAGCGTCCCGATTGCATGTTTATGCAAGGATTCATTGGCTTACAGTGCATCACCTTTTGTCACGTTATGGCCACATGCGTAGCACAGGATAGTGAAGTGGAATGAAAAAGGCACGTTTTTTGTCCAGTTGTTTGTTTAATAATTAAAACTCTGTCTGGAAAGTGTGGCGGGCATTTGTTTCTCCCGCAAGACAATAATCACGTTTTGCCACGATTGCAGCTGTCAGGTTTTTTGAGACCAGCTTTGCACATCTAGAAATGTTCAGCCCTTTATTTCCAAAATGGATCAAGGTCAGTCAGATTTGATGTATCTGCAAAGATCAATTTTTAGGCTTTGCCAAAACTTTGAATTATATTTAGAACTAGGCCATTCTAAAATGAATAATTTTAGAACGAAACCTTTCCATTTTAGCTTTGGTTGTACATTTCGCTTTGTTGACCTGCTGTAATTTGAAGCTCCACTCCAGTATTGCCTCATCCATCTTTCCATCGATTCTGACCAGCTTCTCCGTCCATGTTGAAGTAATGCAGCATAACGCAGCCAGCACCATGTTTCACTTTTAGAGATAGTTTGGTCAGAAAAATGTGAAGTTTATTTTTTTTAAGGCTTTTTTGCCACTCTTCTATATTTGACAGATTTCTTGAGTTTAGAACTAATAAATTTAACTTAACATCTTCACAGCTCCTTGACATTTACCATGGGACACTTTGCTGCTTTTTATGGTTACTTTTATTTCCCAGCCTGTCAGTTTTGGAGGCTTTCAGTTTTGTCACAGTCTTTTCCGTTTCTAGAGAAAGGACTGCTTTATGAAACATTCAAAGGTTGGGAAATTGTTTTAAGAACTAATTCTTCTTTGAGACCTTCACAGAAGAGTCTGTTTATTAGTTGGATGACTTTTTGTACTTAGAGGTATTAAGGTAACGAGGGTGACTACCAATGCATGACACAGCTTTTAGTTTTTTATTACAAAAAAAAAAAAAAAAAGCACAATCATTTTCACTACAATTCACATATGTCCACTACTTTGTGTTAGGCTGTTTCATGTAATGAAGTTTATGGCTGTAAC